CCCCCACCCATGAATTCCAATTGCCACCCCCAGCTGTTGAGGTACCAATAGCCTCAAACTAATCACGGGCCCCACGTTCGAGCGGGTCGTCCCCCCACACTGCCTTTTCACCCTCTTCTCTGAAGCCCCCTGTCTTCTACCAGGTCCCAATGCCAAAGCCTCAACCCCTCCCCACCACCCCCAAGCCCGTGCTCAGGACTGTATCCTCCTCACTCAGGGGATGACTCTGGTTCCTTTTTCCATCCAAAATCACTAACCCACGTGCTCTTAAAAGCTGAGCTCCAATCTGAGCCTGGGCAGAAGTAATCTCTCTTTACCCAGCCGGAGTTCGGCGCCGGCCGCCCTGGCGCACAGCAGAGTATTTGGCCAGCGTGGCGGACGAAGCCGGCTGCCGTGTTCTCGGGCTCTAGTAGACTACTGCTACCGCACCAGTAGCGACTCGCCTAATCCTCACCACTCCTGTCGCAGCTCCCCTCACAGGGTGCTTGATGGAGCACAGAGGCCAAACGCGTTTGCCCAGAACACACAAGAGGGGACAAGGAATGGGAATGCCAGACTGAATGGCCCGCCAGTTTGGCCAGGCCCGCTCTTAGTTAAGCGCAGCGCGCTCAGTGCTGGCTTCTCCACTAGCAGAGCCGCGGTCAGCGGGGCCGCGGCGCCCACGGGCTGCCCGGCGCCTGCACAGCGGGCGGCCTCCCACCCGCGCTGCCGGCCACAGGTGCGTCTCTGCACCAGGCCTGGCTCTTGCTGCCTTGGCCCGTGGCACTGGACGGTTGGCAGGCGCACACTCTTGACCCGCACTCCCTCCCAGACGGGCTTCGTGCCCCCTCTGCCCAGCAGGTCAGGCCCAGGGGACTGTTGGGTTGACTTCCCTTGGGTGACGGAGTTGGAGTCTGTCTAGTACCCTTCTGCTGCATCCTTTAACCCAGTGTCTCCCTCTGCTCGGGCTGCTCTAACAGAACGCCACAGACTGCGTGGCTGAAACAGCAGACCTTTATTTTCTCACACTTCTGGAGGCCAGAAGTCGAAGGCTGGCAGGTTTGCTTTCTCCCGAGGTCTCTGCTAGGCTGGTAGACCGCCTCCTTCTTTGCCCTCACGTGGTCTTTCCTCTGAGCTTCTCTGGGTCCTAATTTTTTCTAATAGGACACAAGGCCTGTTGGATTAAGGCTCATTCCTGTGGCTTCATTTTACCTTAACCACCTCCTTAAAGGCCCCGTCTCAATTAGCCGGGCATGGTGGCGCATGCCTGTAGTCCCAGCTACTCGGGAGGCTGAGGCAGGAGGATCGCTTGAGCCCAGGAGTTTGAGGTTGCTGTGAGCTAGGCTGACGCCACGGCACTCACTCTAGCCTGGACAACAAAGCGAGACTCTGTCTCAAAAAAAAAAAAAAAAAAGGCCCCATCTCCAATTACAGTCACATTCTGAAGTGCTTGTGGTTGGAACATCAAGATATAGATTTGTTTGGGACACAGTTCAGCCCATCTTACCCAGGGTCTCAAACTCAAATGTGGATGGGCTGGACAGGTAGCATGGGTGAGTGAACAGAGCTGGGAAAGACTTGACCCCTCATTCTTCTATCTTCCCACTTTTGAGAGAGACATAGGTAAAAATATTCCATTTTCCTCTTTACTGTGTGAAATACAAGAACAAGGACATTTGTTCACTGCTGTCTCCCAGCTTCCTAGAACAAGTGCCTGGCACCTAGTAAGTGCCCAATAAATATTTGTGGAGCAAGTGAATGAACAGGAAGGCCCCTGGGGAGTGGCAGGGACCAGGTGAATCCTGGCCAAGGGGCCAGTGGGCACTCAGCTCCAGCCAACTATTGTCAGACCACCTGGAATGCAGACTCTTTTTTTTTTTTTTTTTTTTTTGAGACAGTGTCTCTCTTTGTTGCCCAGGCTAGAGTGAGTGCCCTGGCATCAGCCTAGCTCACAGCAACCTCAAACTCCTGGGCTCAAGCAATCCTCCTGCCTCAGCCTCCTGAGTAGCTGAGACTACAGGCACGCGCCACCATGCCCAGCTCATATATATGTGTGTGTGTATATATATATATGTGTTAGTTGGCCAATTAATTTCTTTCTATTCATAATAGAGACTGGGTCTCGCTCTTGCTCAGGCTGGCTGGAATGCAGACTCTTAGATAAACCTCAGGTTTTTAGTGCTGGCAACGAATCCACAAAGACTAAAACCACTGTGCAAACCAGTTTGCACCCACTGCTGCCTGCTAGGGGCGCCCACCCTGGGCTGGCAGAGCAGGCACCTGCCCACTCAGTCTTAGGGTGCTGTGGTGCCAGGGTGATGGGAAGCCTGGGGGCAGGGCCAGTGCACCCCAGGTGCTCCAGTGACTCGGGGCCCCACCGCCTGTGGTTGCCTCTGCAGGAAGGCGACGCTCTAGGCGCCATGGAGAAGCTGTGCCGGCAGCTGACATACCACCTCAGCCCCCACTCCCAGTGGAGGCAGCACCGGGGGCTGGTGAAGAGGAAGCCGCAGGCCTGGTGAGTGGCAGTCCCTAGGCGGGTCTATGCCAAGCTGAGTGTGTGATATACGGGGGCCTCTCGCGGCAGGGGGAAGGGATGGCCCGGAGAGCCAGAGGGGGCCATCTTGGGAGGACTCAGGCAGGGGCACAGCCAAGAGGGCATCCCAGGTGGGCGTGAGCATAGAAGAGCTGGATGGGGCGGGCAGTTGATTGGGGGTGGGGGATGTGAGCAGCTTCTGACACCTGGTGTGCTAACAGCAGGCCCTCCTGACTGAACCTGCCAGTTCTCAGATACTCCCAGAGGGGCCCAGCCCCCAGCCCTGTCCCTGGTCCATATAGCAGCAAGGACCTTCCCCTGAAGATCAGGGAGGAGTAGGGGGACACATAGGACATAGAACTTGTGAGCTACATACCACTCCTAAGTACTGCAGGAAACAGTGGGGCGTCAGGAGACTACCAGGCTTCCTAGAAAAGGAAGCACCCTGCCTTTTTTGCAAATGACCATGGCAGGGCCGCTGGCCTTTGGCAAGGCCTTGGTGCTGCTGCCGGCTCATCCTTGCAGTTCCCTGCAGACTGGGGAGGGAAGGACTGTCCCCCTCCCTCACGGAGAAGAAAGAGCTCTGGCGCCTCCTTCCGTTCTGGCCACCCCCACCCCCAAAACTGAGACAGACAGATCCTGGGATGCTCTATGGAGCTGGCCACGGCAGGGGTTCCACATATGGGCGTAGAGCAGGACAGGGGCCCGTGGTACCTGGAATGCCACAAGGAGACTGAGCTAGTTCTTAGGGTGGAACAGCTGCAAGTTTGACTAGCCAGAACCTAGGAGCCTCTTCTGTCTCCCCAAGACATGCCCACGCTCAGTCCATTCTTCATCTGGAAGCCATGGAAACAGGGTCTCATTCCCCTCCAGTGGCTTCTCATCACACGTAAAACAGAATCCAGACAGGGCCCTGTGTGGCCTGCCCTTCCCCCACTCTGGTCTCTCTCTCTCACCCCCACTCTCTCCTGGAACTTTTCCAAACTCTTATGATGGCCTGTGCTTCCTCTCTCTTCATGAGTCAGCTCAGGTGTTACCACCTCCCTCCTGACTGGCTGTGTCCCCCAGCTAGTCTGTCATTCCCTCTCACGTCTTCCATGTGTGTGGTCTCCCCCTGGAAGAATGGAAACAGGGCTTTTGTCCATCCTGTTCACCATGGTGACCTCAGTGCCTGGCACCCAGTGGGAGCTTAACAAACACTTGTTAAGGGAATGAACAGGTGGCAGAAGTTACTGTTGCTGTTTGGCCAAGATCACCGAGCTGGCAAGTGGTGGTGAGGGACTCAAACCTAGCTCAGGCCGTCACCACCACACTGTTCCCTGGGTGTAACGGGTCTGCTTTATTAATGGCATTGATAACAGCAGCCAACAATTAAATCATGCTGAATAAATGCCAGGCAGTGTTCCAAGCACTTAAATGTCACACCTTGAAAGCTTTACCTTCAAACTCCCTGAGGCTGGACCCTAGTCAGAGGTGAAACGAGCAAACTGGGGACAGCCTCCCACTTCATATCTCAAGGATAGAGACCTGCCTTACCTTGCCAGGAAGTCCAGGCTGTGACCCTTACTGTGTGCTCTTTGAGCGGGCTGGGAGCCCCTCCGCCTCCTTCCGTCCCAGGGCACGTAGAAACATGGAGAACCAGCATCTCACCGACACCAGCAGAGAGGAGCGGTGGAAAGGGCACACTCATGTCAGCCTGAGCAGCCTGGGCTCTGGCCCAGGGCAAGAAAGGAGGGGGTGGCAGCTGGCAGGGAGTGAGGGGTGGAGAGAACTCATCCTCTAGGCTCAGAGCCCCTGCACCCTCCCCTGCCTGTGGTCCTGTAAGTTGCCCCTAGGGATCCCCACATGGTGGGGAAGAAGGCTGTGAAGGAGGGGCCTCAGAGATGCTTTGTGCCACTCTTGGAGGCAGCTTAGCTGCTACCCAAGGGTGGTGGAAGCGGGAAGCTCAGGCCAAGTGATTAATAATAGCAGCAGCAAATTTGTGTTCATCACTTACCTATACAAGACACTGTCCTAAATGTTCTACATTAACTCATTTCACATAACAACCCCATTAAGGTAAATAACTGAGGAACTGAGAGATTAAGTAACTAAAGGTCACAGAGTAGGAAGAAAAAGAGTGAAGATGCAAACTTGGGCATCATGCAGAAACTCAGGCCTTCCCTTTGGCCCTGCAGGAGGGCAGCCGCAGACCTTCAGCTCTGGCCTGCTGGGCCCAGGTAGCAGAGACGTGGCGTAGTGCCAGGGGATCCCGGTCCCTGGTTTCTCCCACTCCTGCACTTGCAGTTCAATCTGCAAGCTTTGTGAAAATGATCCCTAGAGGCCAAGAGCCAGGCCACTGCTGACTCTGAGAGAAAGCCTTGTCCCATGTGCTTAACTTTGCTTGTCCCTTTTCCCTTCAGCCTAAAGGCTGTCCTGGCCGGGAACCCTCCAGACAACACAGTGGACCTGTCAGGCATCCCGCTGACCTCCCGAGACCTGGAACGGGTGACCAGCTACCTGCAGCGATGCGGGGAGCAGGTGGACAGCGTGGAGCTGGGCTTCACAGGCCTCACGGATGACATGGTCCTGCAGCTGCTGCCAGCACTCAGCACCCTGCCCCGCCTCACCACACTGGCACTCAACGGCAACCGGCTGACCCGGGCCCTGCTGCGAGATCTCACAGACACCCTTAAGGACCCCAGCAAGTTCCCCAACGTCACGTGGATTGACCTGGGCAACAATGTGGACATCTTCTCTTTGCCCCAGCCCTTCCTGCTCAGCCTGCGCAAGCGCTCCCCAAAGCAGGGCCACCTACCCACCATCCTGGAGTTGGGCGAGGGACCAGGCAGTGGGGAGGAGGCGCGGGAAGGGACAGTGGGTCAGGACCCTGGGGGGGGTCCTGTGGCACCTTCCAAAGACCATCATGAGGACAAGGAGACTGTAGCTGCAGGCCAGACATGACACACAAGTGAGGGCCTCACCAGGGAACCCTTGTGGGGTACAATGACCAGGGCAGAGGTCAGGGGTCCTCGTGCTAGGAGGCTCAGGCTATCACCAAAACTGGCCTGGGTAACCCACCCACAGAAACGCAGACAGTAGCAACCAAGAAAGGGGGAATTATACTTCCTGTTCCTCTCCATCTGCCCCCTATAATTCCCCCTACCAGCCTTTCTGGCTTGAAAGTCATCCCTGTCTAGAGGCTCCTGACACCCCTCACCTCAGCCCTTAGCCTCCCCAAAGAATTACGGGAGCAGGCATATGGCTTTAGCCAATGTGAACGCCAAGAACTTTCCCCCAGAGCAGTTGTGCCCCTACAAGTAACCCAGGATTTTCCTGTGAAACACTTGTTTTATCTGGAGGAGTAAACTCCATCCAGATGCTGAATGTGTCCCCACTCTAGGGAGATTACCATCTTCACAACTCCCAACTGAGGAACCTGGGGGGAGAAGCCGAATTCCATCTATGCTGAGGGTGGTCTACCTGCTCATGGAGCCTTGGGCTCCTTGGAACTGACCTGTGACAGGCGCCTGCCCAGAGAGCCAGCAACCACTACATCCCTCAACACCTAGTGCTGTGTGGCAGTGCTCAGGGCACACAGGGCATGCGTGGAAAGGCCCAGTAAGAAACCCATCCCCCCAAAACTGCCAGGCCTTCACGTGGGACTCAGTGTCCTTAGCATGAAAGCCAGAGATGAGTTTTGCTTCCTTCCCATCATACTTGCCATCAACCCATACTTTGAGAACATTCCTTAAGACCTACTACAGAAGGCTCTTAAAAATCCAGGACCATGAAGTTGAGTCCAAATTCTTGGTAGACCCAAGTAAGATGGCTGGGGAAGTCACCTGGAGGCTCCAAAGAGAGCCTAATTTGGCACCGGTTTTCACCTACATCATCTTCCCCCTTCTCCCCCTCCTCTCTAATCCAAACACTTCTAGCCTCTACCAGTTAAGAGTCCCAAACTATACACAACAGGTAGCCCCTAGTCCTAAAAGTATGGTTTAGTCCAAGGAGACTGGGAGCCAATCATTCTTACCCAGAAAAACAGAACAACCTGATGGCCCTCAAGCCTGGTAGGCAAGATTCCAGCAAAATGAACCTACACTCTGGGCCTTGCATGCCAGTAAGGGTTTTAGCTGGGAGTGATTCAAATGCTTCAGGAGCTAGAGGGAAGCCATGAAAAGGGACAGAGCCCAGAGGCAGCAGGGATTAGAATCAAGTGTGTAGATGCCTTAGATGCTCTGGAATTTTTGCCCTCAAAACCTGAAGTTGTTAACAGCAAAAAGCTTTCACTACAGGGAATCGGAACTGCTGATACCCGACAGCAGTAGTCAAATTTGCTTTTTCTTCAAATACACATTTTTAAGAATCAATACCAAAGAGTATCCTTTATTATAGTATTAGTTCATGGTAAATGAATGAAAACATTACTTTCAGGAGGAATTAACAATTTTCATCTTATAGAACTTGCCCCCCAATATAACAACCAATTAGTATTTTGGGTTTTTTTTGAGACAGTCTCACTCTGTTGCCCAGGCTAGAGTGCCATGGCATCAGCCTAGCTCACAGCAACCTCAAACTCCTGGGCTCAAACGATCCTGCCTCAGCCTCCCGAGTAGCTGGGACTACAGGCATATGCCACCATGCCTGGCCAATATATGTGTATGTGTGTGTATATATATATAATTTTTTTTTAGTTGTTCAGCTAAAGTTCTTTCTATTTTTTAGTAGAGATGGGGTCTCGCTCTTGCTCAGGCTGGATTCGAATTCTGCCTCGGCTCCCAGAGTGCTAGGATTACAAGCGTGAGCCACCATGCCTGGCCAAGTATGTTTGTTAAAAAGGTATAGAAGCTCCTACTGGGCAGGCTAGCAAAGGACAGTGCTAGAAAACTTAATGATACCAAATGTGCCTGTTCTAGAAAAAAGTTGCCCAATACATTGCTTGGCTTGAGAATGTCCTTGCTTACACAAGGCAAGTATGTTTCTACACCAATGTTGTTGAAGCCAGTTAGGTTTTCAGAATCCAAGTTGATAACAGCCACTGGTCCTTCACTTCAGACTGACATCCATCCTCTGGGGACACAGCCTGCAAAGAAACTAAATTTCAATTTCACTTTCTCCTCTAACCAACAGCCACTCACAGGACAAAAGATATCTTCAGAAAACCATAGGCTCACCACTACACAATCTGCCGGTAATTCCAGCTATTTTGGGTGATTTCATCATATGATATCCTTTTCTTCAAATCAATTTTAACAAAACCAGCTATTTATTCATTCTACCACAGGGTCATTGCCCAGATCAATGCTTACCTCCTCCTCCTGGGCTGAGCTGCTGTGGCTGCCAGCTCTGAACCTGTACATTCCAGCACTCAGTTCTCAAAACCTGGGGGAATAGAGAAGGCACACACACTTCAGACAGACTGCAGATTCAGAGACATTTCTGAAAGCCTCAACTATAAACTTAAAAATTTAAGTCCATCCTAACAAGAGCCCCTTAAGACCTTTTTGGAGGTGATTTTGGTGTATTAACAAAGTCTACAAGTCCTAATTTAGCTTCTCTTGGAATTGTAACCTTCATTTAGTCTCATCATTTTAAACGGATGGAGAAAACTACATCTCAGCAGATAACACTCTCCACAGAACAAAACTTACCTCACAGGCCAGTGCTCCTGGGTCCAATACTCAGCCAGCCACTGAACATGCTGGTGATCCTTCACCAATTTGCAACCTGGATGAATACAGCAAGTATAGGTCACAGTTCAGACAAATTTACTCCTGCAAAACAGCATCTGGTGGACTTGTTGACTGCAGTCAGACAAGAGTAGTTATCGTCAGTTATCGCTTCTGACGGCACTTCCTATTAGTGATTTCATCAGAGCAGTCAAAACACCTCACCGTCTCCAGTATTGCTCCAACCGGAGACCTGGACATGACCTGAAACTAAGCTAAAATTACCTTAAAGCAGCCAGAGGAGACATTTAAGAAAAACTTTGTTTCCACTTATAGCTTTGGTTCAGATGCAGTTCTAGGTTAGGAATGTTTGACTCTATATGATGGCTTGACACAATGTTCAATGTATAGAACTTACAACTGCAAAACATCAATTCCAGCTCGTTGAAGATAAAATTACAACTAGGTTACATATTAAACCTTATCCAGACGGAGCTCTCACCTCATAGTTACCCTGTCTTCACTCTGCAGTGCGCGCCATCATCTGAAACGGAATAAGGCCAAGAATTTAGGGCAGATTCTGGCAGTTACGTCCAACTAAACCGTGGAGGTTTCAGGGACTGCGGTCAGACAAGCATAAACGTCGTCAGTTATCGTCTCTGACGGCACTTCCTATTTCCAGTATCATCAGGACAGTCGAGCCAAGCCCCCGCGTAGGCCCATTAAGGCCCTACCCACGTGGAGCACCCTCCGGGCACCCAAACTGCAGGCAGACCCCCCTTACCCAGTGCTCTCACGTCTGCCCACTTCCCACGGCGGGCCGGGTAACCGGGTCCCGGCCTTCGCGGATCTCAGGCTACTGCGGTGACCCTGCCGGAAAAGCACGCGCGCTGTGAGCCTCGGCCCACAGCAGCGGGGTCCCCGCCGCGAGACGGCCGAGCGCCCGCCGTGGCGCAGGCCCCGCAGCCCACGGGAGCGCAGGCGCGAGACACGCCGCCGCCGCCGCCCTCCAGCTAGGCTTCCCCGGACCCCTCTCCGGAGGTCAGAGGGGCTCTAGCTCTTTATTTGCCCCTGCCGCCAGTAGCTGGCCCGGGGCGCAAAGACGACTCACCTCCATCGCACAACTCCAGCGGAAAGGCCGCGTCCGTGGGGCCCCAGCCCCTTAAGGAGTCGGAACATCTCATTCCTCACAGGAGGGAGGGAGATACCGTAAAACCTCAGCATTAACCCAGGACTCCCCCCTCCTCCTGAGCCTGTGGTCTCGCCCACGGCCCGGGGAATTCTGGGTCACGAGGCGCGCGATGGGTTCCAGAGCGCCTGCGCGAGGTTTGGAGCGCGGGCTTTGTTTTTCCTGTGTTGCCCAGGCTAGGGTTCCGTGATGTCAGCCTAGCTCACGGCAACCTCAAACTCCTGGGCTCAGGCGATCCTCTTGCCTCAGCCTCCCGAGTAGCTGGGACTACAGGCATGCGCCACCATGCCCGGCTCATTTTTCTATATATTTTTAGTTAGCCAATTAGTTTCTATTTTTAGTAGAGACGAATCTCGCTGTTGCTCAGGCTGCTTTCGAACTCCTGACCTTGAGCGATCCTCCTGCCTCGGCCGGGCCAGCGATTTGGTCTTGAGCGAATTACTCTTCCTTTTTCTGCGCCGGATTTCTCATCTTGAAAGTGGAGACACCTGCACCCCAGGCAGGAGGTTTTTCTGAAGATCACCTGAGCAAATACACTGGACACTTCTCCGCAGCGCCCTGGCACAGCAAGCGTTCACAAGTAGGAGCTGCTTCCGAATCTATTACAATAAGTGTCGCCAATCTACCCTCTCCCCACAATGATTTCAAAATATCCACCGAGCCTTGTCTCGACCCCCTGGGCACTGACAACCCTCATCACTTTCTGTAGGATGACCTTTAAGGACCCATTACACGTCGTATCTTGATGCACGTCCATCCTCTCCCCTGTATGTAAAGCTCTGCCCTTCCCTGCCTCTCCTGATTTCCTGGGGACTCCATCCGTGCCCCTATGTCGCCTGCGATGGAAACTCCCTCTCTGCTGACGTCTTTCTTTCAGCATATGAACATGCTCAGGTCTCCTACTCAAAAAACATTCAGTCTGAAACCGGCCTTTATGGTATCAATAAAGGCCATGGTGGGACCTGGTAGGGCCTGAACTCTGCAAAGGTATAGGCATAAAGTAAATATACAACCAGCCATTGTTCCCTAGCTTTAGTCCTATAACTGCTTACTACTCAGGAGTCACATAGCTGATAATCATAAGGATTCTACGTAAGGCTTTCTACGTTGCTCCCATAGATGACATCACACTTGTGAAGCCTAAGACTAATTTTTGAGATATCTTCCAGGCCCTGAACTCGGTGGACCAGCTGACCCACCGGGACTGGTCTTGTGACTGGCCTCCCCAGAAACTGACTCAGCACAAGGAGACAATTTCTACCCCCCCACGATTCCACTCCGACCCAGCCAATCAGCAGACCCAATTGCACCTGTGATATTAAACCCTTTCTCCCCTGTAATCCCTGCTGTCTCAGTGAATTGGCCTTCCTCTTGAGCAACAGTGAACCTTGTTGGGCTGTAACAAGTCCACGCATGCACATTTGCACACAAATGTTACACCAAAGTAGAGCAATTCATTTCAACTGCAGAAAACTGGAAAGGCAGTTGTGAGACAGCAACTTTTAAGCTGGCCTCAGAAATAAGTGTAGGATTTTAATGGGGGGGGACTCAAGGAGCAGCCAAGTCAAAGGGTCAAACGAGGTCCCTCAAACTGCATAAAGAATTTGGTGAGACTGCCAAGGGGGGAAAAGGAGAAGGACTGGGATATAGAGGAAGAGATGTCTGGAAATGGCTTGGGCAAAATTGTGGAAGGCTAGGGATACCAGCTAGGGCATTCCACGGGCATTGGGAAGCTTCTCAGGCCTTCAGAGCACAGAGGTGATGTGTTAGTCTTTGTCTTAGGAAAGCCCCTCTGGTGTCCTGCAGAGGATGGCTTGGAGGGGTGGGATGGAGCAGGAAGCCCAGTGGGCAGAGAAAGCCATGATTCAGAGCCTGAACTAAGACAAAGAACTCAAAGGAGCCTAGTTTTGAGAGATGTGTTGGAGTCTCTCAGTGGGTGTCTGGTGGCTGTGTTTGCCCGTGTCCACCACCACGTCTGCCATCACAGTGGGCACAGCACCTCGGCCAGCTGCCTGTACCCAGGAAGAGGACAGTCCCAGGACTGGGGCAGCAGCTGAGGGTCTCCGTGCCCAGGCGAAGACAGGAGAAGCCTAGCCTCAGACACAGACGTGTGCACACAGAGACATGCAGACGTTACCAGCCCAAGGGAGCCAGCAACTTTGCTCAAATAATGTTTCCAGAAGAGTTAGTTGTGAAAAAAATATTTATATTTGCCACCAAAATTCACTGGGCCCTCAGAGCCTGCAGGTGTGACTAGAAGAATCCCTTGCTCGGTCCTGCTGGCCTCCTACTGCATCTAGGCCATCAGTGGGACTGGAGAGGCTGGAGGGGCACATGGTCTTCCTCCAAGGCACCAGCCTGCCCAGGTCGGGAGGCCAAAGTGAGGTCCCTCATCGCACCTGTGAACAAATGAGTAGCACTGTGACTTGACCCTTGAGTGTGTCCCCAGAAGGCAGGTGCCAGGGAAACCAAAGGGGCCACAGTCATAAAAGCAGATCATCTCCTGTGGACAGCCAGTGATCCTGGAGCCCCACAGTCCCTCTCCCTTCCTCCCTACTTCCATGAGCATTTCTGGCACCCCTGCCATGTGCCAATCAGGAGCCTTTCCCTAGAAGCTTAAAGTCCTCCAAGGTGACAGCCTTGTATGTCAGAGACCTGAACATCAGAGACATGCTGAAGAGCTGGAAGAAAGTGAGTTAGGTGCTCAGGGGGCTCAGAAGAGAGAGAGGACCCATCCTGCAGGGGAGATGGTACATTTGGACACCCAGAGGAGAAGAAGGGCACTTCCAACAGAGACAAGAGCCAAGGAAAGCAAAGAACAAGAAGCACTGCAGACGGACTGGCCAGCTGGCATGTGGGTGGAGGTGTGGAACTAGCTTGGACAACAGCTTTGGGCCCTGCTCAGCACCAGGCCCGCAGTGCCACTGGAGCAGGCGCCCGGTGCAAGTGACTGCAGGCCGGACAGGAGGAGGGGACGAGCGGGAGCAAGGGCAGCAGGGAGCAATAACGGCCTCAGAGTGTTTCCCAGGTGACTGCCTGAAAGCTGGCCACCAAAGGCATGGTGCTGGCAAGGACAGGAGGAAGCGCCGTGCTAAGGGGCAGCCCCTGTGAGAGGAGCTGGCATGGAGGAAAGCAGCAAAGTGGCCACAGAGGAGGCCCCTGGGCCCTGTCCCAGACTCAGCAAGGCTGTGTGGCCAAGCAGACACACATACACATGCACAGGCACACACAAACACACAACACACAGAGCAGGGGCTCCAGCCACCACGGCTACTCACCAGGGACGCCTGCCCCTGATGGCTCCTCACGCACTGTAGGCAGCGTCTGCTCCCACGCAGCCCAGTTCACCTCCTCCACCCTGAGGGCAACACAGTGGCTCTGAGGCCTTGGGAAGCCAGCAGTCCAGCCTGTGTTGGCCTGGGACGGCGAAGAGGACATGCTTTCTCTGCAGGATACTGGGCCACCAGATTGCTGCACCCAGGCCAAGTGCCCATGCGGAGGAAAGAGCATCCGTCCCTCCTGGCTGTTCACAGCAGCCCAGGTTGCCCAGAGCAGCAGAATTCAGCTCAGGTGTGTCTTTGTGCTCACAGGTTCAGGGGCTCTTTTAGGGCTGCTCAACAAGGCTACGACTCCCTGTCTCCCTGTTCTCTGTTCATGTGTCTGTTTCTGGCTGTGCAACTGTCACCAGATTCCCTCTCCAAGTGCCCCAGCCTTCCCTGGCCACAGAAGGCCTGGCTCTTCACGGAAGGGGCTGAAGCTGGGAGATCAGGCCGGGAGAAGTGGGGTCGGGGAGCAGAGCAGCCGGGGCAGGGCTGGTACACCGGGAACCCAAGGGCCCCTCTGGCTTCTTGGCCTCCTCACTGTGCCACATTTCAGGCCAGAGGAGAGGTCAGGGATCACCAGGAAGGGACCTTGAGTTTAAGCCACTGGGACAGGCAGACGGCCAGACAGACAGTGGCAGCTGTGCATCCCTGACCTTGCCTGCCTGGGCACAGTCCCAGCTGCTTCTCTGCCCTGCCCTTCCCACCATACCTGGCTTCCAGCAGCTGTCCCCTGGCTTTCAGGAGAGTGAGGCTAGCATGCACAGCAGGGATTGCTGGTCAGCGAGGCCCCCAGGCCACCCTGCCCTCCCTCCTCACTCACCTGAAGCACCAGCGCTCATCAGGGCTGCCATTTGGCCTGGTGCCCACGGTGAGCATCACACCGGTCCGCTGCTTCTTCCTCCTGCACCACCAGTAGCCATTCTCCATCTCCAGGACAGCGATGGCTTTCTGGGGATGAAGGATGCATCAGACAGAACAGCTTGGGACCCTGACTGGAGGAAGAGGTGCAAAGGGCAAGGGGAGCACGACAACACTTTACAGTATAACCCACAGTCGGCTAAGCATGTGGATTTGAATCGGGCTCCAGGGTTTGAAACCTGTGTGGTGGCAGGTCCTTACCCTCTCTGAATCGCAGTTTCCCACTTGTAGTCTGAGGACAACATACCTTCCTTGGTTGCTGGGAAGTGAGCATGTTACAAGCGCTCGAAGACTACCTGCCCTTGTATCATCCCGGGCTCCAGGATCCCACACCGCCAGGCACCATTTGCCCTGCCCCACAGGTGTGCCGTCCCCAGCACACAAGCAAGTCAGGTGGGGCACAGAACTTTTCAGGGGAGGGCACCAAGGCTCAGAGAACATGAGGGGCTCCCCCAGGGTCAACAATGGATCGGCAGCAGAGTGCAGCCTCCTGGGCAAGGCCCACCCTACATCAACTGCCCAAGACCCACCCCAACTCTTCTCTCATCAGGAAGCAGCCATTGCTTCCACTGTAGGAGGGTGTCACATGAGACCCCAGCTGTAGGGGACTCTGCCCCCTAAGACCCCAGGCAGGGTCAGCCCAGGACTTCACATCCCGACCACCTCCCCCACCAAACCGACCCCATTCTACATACAGTGGACACAGAGTGGGAGCCCCATGAAGGCAGGGCCTTTGTCTTGGTCTCTGCTCTGTGTGCAGCACCCAGAGCTGTGCCCAGCTGTACCGGGAAATACTTGATAACAGCAATAGTGGTGCTACAGTAGCTATAGCAGCACACTGAGCACCTCTACGTCCTGAGCACTTTACACCTATAAGCTTCTCGGTCTCGCCACAAGCCTGCAGAGGATGGGGAGACACAGACAAGCAGGGCTGCCTGCTCCGGGCCCAGCTCCCCAGGGGCCTGAGCACTCCTCACTGGCCCAGCACATGGGGTGGGGGTGGGGCAGGGGCTGGGATCCTCCCTGGCCATACCTGCAGCTTCCAGATGCTCCAGCTGTCCGTGGCGACACTGTTGACGGTCTCGCTCATGAGGGCGATGAGCATGTTCAGCAGCAGCACGTAGGTGAGCAGCACGTAGGCCAGCAGCAGCAGCAGCACCACCCCGCGGAAGCGCAGCTGCTCCTGGAAGGCCAGCTCGCCCATGCCGATGGTGAATTTGAAGAGCTCCAAGGAGGCATCCAGGATGCCCCGGTATGGGACCCCACTGCCCTCCTCATTCTCCTGTCCCTCCACAGGCTGCACTGCTGTGGCATTGGGGCCTCGGGGGGCCCCAGGGACCCAGGCCTCCCGACTCAGGCTCACCAGGGCTGTGGGATGGAGGGAGAGGGGTCCTCAGCCCAGAGAGACCAGCGGGCAGCCCCGAGGATGCACAGGGTGGGCAGGGACAGGCAGAGGTGAAGAGGGCCTTTACCTACAGCGAAGCCAAAAAGGAAGATCAAGTAGACCAGAAGGAAGCGGAGCAGGTCCCGCAGGATGACCTGGAACACACGTGCCCAGGAGCTGCGTGGGTGGCTGGACCCCCCGGCACGACCCCAGACCCCTGCCTCAGCCCAAGTGTGGTTCCCATGTTCACCATATAGCACACACACACATATATACACACGTGTGCACACACAGGCCCTGTGGAGCCACACTGAACAGAGGGGTCTTTTAAAATCTCAAATCACATCATTTTCCTGCTTTAAACCCTACAGGAGCCAGGCACAGTGGCACACGCCTATAGTCACAGCTACTCAGGAGGATGAGGCAAGAGGATCCCTTGAGCCCAGGAGTTCAAGGTTATAGTGTGCAATGATCATGCCTGTGAATAGCCACTGTGCTCCAGCCTGGGCAACACAGTGACTCCATTTCTGGATATATATATATATATATATATACCAAAAAGAATTGAGAGCAAGGACTGTAAGAAATATCTATACACCCTAAGCAGCGATATTTACAATAGCCAAAAGGTAGAAGCAACAGATAAGTGCGTGAATAAAATGTGGTCTGTCCACACAGTGCAATACTATTCGGCCTTAAAAAGGAAGGAACTTCT